CACACACACACACACACTATCCGCTTGGTCTGAGACACACCCCTCCCCACCCCACCCCTGTACTTTTCCCACCCCTGTCTATAACGCAGTCGTGCGTTATAGATTTTTAAATGATCTTTTATGAAATTAATAAATATTGTGAAGTTTGTGTTTAAAAAAAGAAAACTTAATAAAATAAAAGTTCAATCACACCTTCACCATTGGTGGGGGTGGGGGATAAAAAAAATCGAGACTTTTGACAGCATCATGCCATCTGCATTCAGTCACCAGCTGATAGTTTAATATTCTCTCCAAAAGCCACACAGAAATCCACCTTGTAGTCCAACATTATGACACTGGAAATCATTTTGTCTCCCCTTCTTTCTTTTGTATTGATGACTAAACCTGTTTTCCCCACCTCATTTTAGTTCCGCTCTATTGCAACTGAAAATCACACTCAGGTGGGAGACCCCCGGACCATGTAGTGCAGTTTCTGAGATGGTGCAGAGTGTTCTCGAGGAGCACACAGCTGTGATCTCTGTCTTCTCAGTCCATCTCAGACAACTCTTAACCACTTAAGAGTCCTCTGGAGCAGTCAACTTTTTGGGAGAGTAAGAGTGATTCTTCGACTGAAGAATTTTGATAACTTGTTTTTTACACTTAAGTCTGAGAGTAGGAGGAAATCTAAAAAAATTCAGCACTTAAATCTAAATCAACACTCTAAGGAGTTTGATAAATATGTGACCTGGTGTGTTGATTACAAGGTGGTATGAGAGGAGCTGTGGGTGGTATGACCATAAAAAGAACAATACAGTCCACATAAATTGACCATTGTCACTAAACTCATACAGCACACAGGAAACTTTCCAAAACAATTAATACAAAACAAATTAAAAACCCCAAACCATCACAATTTGATTATGTTTCTTTAGGCTCCTTGTGATTTATTTGGTCAGAAAGACCTGGGGTCGGATTTATAAAACTGGCGTACGCACAATTTGAGCCCAGGGGTCAGATTTATAAAACTGGCGTACGCACAATTTGAGCCCAGAAACTTGCGTACGCCACTTTTTACACCAAGGTTGTGATTTATAAAATCCAAACTTKACGTGAAAATGTGCGGTGCCTCATGCCAGCTCTGACCCATGCGCACGCTCATTTTGGAGACGTGAAACTGCGAAACAGATGGTGAAGTGAGGAATTAGAGCCACATTGAGTAATGATCACTGTCATATTTAATTTACCTTCAGAATCACGTGCAGGGCGCATCCACCTCGCCAGTGTGAATGTTATAAACCTTCAAGTTTAAAGTCCGTGTTTGTCAAGCGAGGGGGGGGGTGCGTGTGCGTGCGTGCGTGTGTGTGTGTGTGTGTGTGTGTGTGTGT